GTGTGGACTTGTTATAGTGCAGAAAAAGATACACTGTAACTTTTTCTTTCATGGTCACAAGTAGAATTTCTTTGGATGGTTTTGAAGTGCTAAGCACATAGTATCCATAGGTGTAAAAAAAATGACCGGAATGCAACATACTTAAAATATACAGCTTATTGAAAAGTGCTAAAATAAGCTTTTGTGATACATTTTTTTGCAAATTTAATTAGAGAAATAAAATTTTTGACTTTTATACATTTTCATCATATCCATAGCCATTATTTGTACCATGTTGCACTCTATATAAGTGTGTATTTGTATTTATTGTATATTTGATATTGTCGTATTGTCCCTTTAACATTTGTTGTATTGTCTCTTTAAGATTTTATTTTCAAACAGGTTACCGAAAATGGCTACAAAATGTTTAATTTCAGAGCATGTTTCCACTATTCATTTTGGGACACATCCACTGATTTCTACAATACAGAAATGTGGAAGCTTAAATATTAACGGCAATGAAGCCTTGCGTCGAAGTGGGTGACATTGACCAGTGTAGTATGGTAGCTACAGCTCTCGGGCACCGTCAGCTGCACCTTCAGGGCCGGATTTAGAATAAGAGAGGCCCTAGGCGACCCCCTGAACAGGGCCCACGACATGGATCTTGGGGCCCTGGGACAAGCAACTCGGTGAATTTTTCATTTTCGTTGGATTATTTTATTTAAAATAATGTCTATTTGAGAGTAATGGATATGTTTGTTGAGATTGAGCATGTCGATACTCCAATGGAAGCTCGTGGACAACTGCGGAAGCCAATTCCCGTCGACGCCAGATGAGCCATGAATGATTACAGGCCTTTGAAAGTATTTTTTTCAAGATATTTTTATAAAACAGATACTAATGTATTTTAGGGCTGGTAGTAAACACCATATGAATGAAAAGGAAAACAAATTGTTAGGTTTTTTTTTATCTACTACGGTTAATTATCTCCAAAATAGGGAAATTACAGATTAATTTCATGGGTTATTGTTTCCTTTATCTAGTTTTTGTCAAGTCGATTCTGGTCATTTTTATTTTTTGTATCAAATGTTGGGAGGTTGCTTGTTCACGTGAGCATAAATTTTTTAAACCCACCCCATGAAAGAAGTAGCTATGGGGAATTTAGACAGGCGTTGATATCCAGTCCGTATACAGATCTCGTTCGCCAGAATCGTCTGAAGTTAATATTGTGGTAACAGCACTGAGTCATCTACAAACTGTGTGAGTTTGGTCTTTCTGCTACGTATAGTAAAGGTGTAAGGACTTGCCAAAGTTGGTATTTGAGAAAAGATGGATTTTGGCAATTTCACCATATGAAAAATGTTTTTTCAATTTTCTCAGTCAGGAATTGAAAGATTTATCTAATATTGCACATTTATGTGTTTTGTCACTATCCCAACTTATAAACCAAATTTGGTCAAAATCTGTGATTGAAGCCTTAGCACCTTCTGCATGGTTTTCTCGTGGACACGCTCTTAAAAACTAGATAACGTAATGGGAATTTGCTGAAAATTTCAGTCAAATTGATCCACACTGAACAGAGTATTTAGCGATTGAATTTTGGGCCTAGCTCGATCATCATTACTAAAGTCGGTATGATAAAAAAACATAGTCTCAATTATCCATTTTTTTATTTAATCAGAAGCAGCAGACCTGGTTCTAATCCAGTAAATATCGCAGGCTAAGGATGCCATCGAGAGTTGATTATGGTCTGGATAAGTTAATTTAATGTCTAATTAATAATTTAGATAACATTTCAGGCCTCAAGAAAGACCTACAATTGGCAGATTTAGCTGTTGCTTAATGTACATTTAAAATATTACTCTTCATATGGCCATGTATACAGTACTCATTAAGAAAAACTTAAAGGATAATATTGGTGTCAGCGATTATCACATTTGTGATAGAACTGGCTAAACACGTTCCAAACATAATTTTAACACAGAGATCATTGCTAACATAGATGCGTAACAAAGATTTGAAGAAATGGAAGTGACCAAAGCAAAAGGAAAAACCTGTGTTATCCTTCTATATAACTGACTGAATTGACTCACTAGATAAAACGAAAAAAGTATAGAATGAATAAAAACAAGGGAATGTACAGGCTATTTCTATTTTTCTGTTATCTAGTTATTTACATTTTCCTTCAATACATCAAGATGGATGTCTGGAATTAACAGTATAATATTGTAAACATAAAATATCAAATAACACAAAAGAGCAAACAATATACAGAAATTGACTGTCACTAGAAAAGAGAATTCTGTGCATTACCATGTTTTTATTAAGAATAGAATGAATAAAAACAAGGGAATGTACAGACTATTTCTATTTTTCTCCTTTTCCTTATCTAGTGACATTCAATTACTTTTTTGAATTATCAGATATCCTTTCACATTCTCATATAACAACTTTGGTCCTTGAAGTAATTATTAGTGAGCAGAAATTTGCCTGTGTATCTATTATTGCTCGTTACTTCAGTCAGTTATATAGAAGGATAACTCGTGTTTTCCTTTTGCTTTCATCACTTCCGTTTCTCCAAATCTTTGTTATCGTAGCAATGATCTCTGTATTGAAGTTATATTTGGATCGTGTTTAACCAGTTCTATCACATGTGTGTTAATGGCTAACATCAATATTGTTCTTTAAATATGAATTAGGTCAGAGTACTTGAAACACGGATGAAAAAGTTTATTTCCATTTTTTTAACGTTCATATATATCGCAATAATCATTAATTGTCAATCTGATCATTAAAGCCTTGGAGTTGTGAACATTGGATGTGTGAAAGGAATGGTTTAAATTCTGTTCAGTATTTAAAAAGATATGAAGAACTGAAAATTTGTCAACATTCAGTATTCTCTGCACAGGTTATGGTCAAAGTAAGCCACCTATAAAATTCACTGAAACCTTTTGATGGGCCTCTTTTAATTCTGTTTGAATCAAATGTTAGTTAAATATTATATAATCTATCTGAGCACATTTTAATATGGATTGAGCTGTGAAAAATTAAGATATTGTGCCCTAAAAGTCTGGAAGTGACACCAGAAATGTACCAGCTAGATGTCTGTATGGAAACAATAACAAATCAGATGGGACTAGGAAAAAATTTATTATTAAATTAATGTTTATTAAACATACATTCTGCAAGAGCTAAATCTACCTATAGCAGGTCTTTCTTTAGGCCTGAAATGTTATCTGAATTATTAGGCATTAATTTACTTATCCAGTCCATAATCAGCTCTTGATGCCATCGCTACCCTATGATATTTAGCGGATTGCAATACATTTATTGAAAAATAATTAAATGTAAAAATGGATAATCAAGACTTTGTTTTTCATCGTACCGGCTTTAGTAATGACGATTGAGGCTAGCCTAAAATTCAAAAGCTAATACATGTATCTTGGTTCAGAGTGGAGAAATTTGACTGAAATTTTCAGCATATCCTATTTGCATTATTTATTTTTTAACTGTCAACTCTTTATCTAATCTCCCATAATGCCCCTTTAAAAATACATTATGTAAGATTTAGATAAAGAGCTGACCGTTCTTGCTATAATAGTCAAAAATAGAAAATGTAAAGTGAATATACTGAAACTTTCATTCAAATTACTTTATTCTGATTGAATTTATCAGTGTTTGAAGTTTGTAGTGTAGATTGTTCATTATCATAGCAACGGTACTTAACAATCGAGACTTAGTCTCGATTATCTATTCTATCACCAAATTTTAAAATATAGTAGGTGTTCTAATCCAATTAAATTTTGGGAATCCGAGAGAGTTACTTATAGGCATCTCATGTGAATAAATTTCTAAGTAATAATTTATATAACATTTAAAGTAAAAGTAAAGACCTCCGATAGGCAGAATTAATCCATCTTTAAGTATACAGCTGTGTTTTGTTATGGTCATATTTATTTACGAATCCTGATAGACTAGCAATAAAATGAAATAGGTGAGAAATTAGCACCTCACTCAGTTTACATTCCATAAAAGAAGTTATTTTATAAATGTTTTACTTAGATTATCACAAATAGAATTTGATTATACGTTTTTGTGTTAAAAACACTAACAAATTGGATCATAAATTTAGACAATGCAAACGATATTTTTGGTTAAGGAAATGCCCAAATTTTACTGATTAGAAAACTTTTCAAGTGAGAGCTCTCTATTGCCCAATGTCAAGGTTAATTATATCTTACAGTTATATGTAATACACTTACCTACTGAAAGAGTCTTACTTTAAGGTTGTCATAGTGCTAATCAAACCTACAATAGAGATTATTATAATCTGTGTTACTGAGAGAAATAAAGACTTCATATTTCATTTAGCATGTGTTGTGAAGACTTAAAAACTGTGTTACTGAATAGTTTAAATTTTGTATGTAGTGAATTTCTTCATATCAATTTTGATAAAAGACTGAAAAGATATACAATGTGAATTTGTTTTAGATACTTTGTAATTTTAATTTGTATGCAATTTGCAAAAGTTGCAAAAGCAGCTCTGCATTATATATGCTGTTTACCCTGTGATTTAAGGAAAGCCGCCTCGATGATGATGGTTATAGGCAGTAATCCTTTGCGTTGAATAATGTGATCATTAATTTGTGTTTTTAATGATAAGATTGTGTCAAAAGTAGAGGACTTATTAATAAACCATCTGGAAGGCACTTAGACAACATCTAAACAGTCTGCGTATGCTCGACTACAAACCAAAAATCAATAACATTATTGTATAGAGCAGCAAATTGATAGCTAATATAAAACAGAAATAAAATACAGCGATACAAGAATTTGGCAAATTATTTTAAGAGGATATTTTCCAAAGTGGGTAGATGTTCTATAAATTTGAATAATTTCTGTTTTCTTGGATTAAAAATAATAACAGAATATTTGGACGGTGGATGAAGATATTAATTGTAGTTCTAGTCGATTTGACATTTAGCAAGAAAATATATCTGCATTAAGTGTTTTGTTTGGATTAAAACATCTCTAAGCTACTTTTGTAAAGACTTCTTGAGTCTTGACTTCTGATTACAGCTGCTGCTTCTGTGACCTTAAAAACTTTTTCTTTTGCCTGCCTTTAGCAGAAATTACAGCTGATCTTGACATTAAATTCAGTTAATATGGCATCTGCACGTTTACCTGATCTTCATGTTTCATTTGGAAGTACGAACAATCTGGCATCTCCGAGAATACCAGATGTATTGGTGTCAGCAGATACCCCTTATAGGGGACGGATGCTCAAATATGTGTAGGTCTTTTTATCATTCTGTAAAATATGATTTAATTTTACTTTGCATTCATATCAAATAACCAGACAAGAATGTTATAGATTACATAATATAAGTTCTGGTGGCTCTTTCAGCGCCAAATTTGAGGTTAGGAAGCTGGACTAGGTTCTATTCCTGACGTAGACCGCAAAAAAAACATTGGAACTTTTTTTTTTGTCCCAGCCGTTCGAAGAAAGCAGTGGACTATTAAAATGGGTCTGTCCCTCCATTTGTCCGTCACACTTTTTGGAACACAATATTACAATATTAACTCTCCTTCTAATTGAGCTGAAATGTTCAAACTTGGTGTAGGTGTTTATTAGGTGAATGCCTTGATGGAGATCGAATATGAGCATTTTCTGTTCAGAGGCTAAGCAGAGATAAGCAATTTGATTGGTTGATGCATTGGGACATGATAACATTATATCAATACCTTGACTAAGTTCGATAATGAGCATTTCTGCTAAGGCTAATCAGAGACTTCAATCTGATTGGTTGAGACTTTGGAACACAATAGCTTTCCTTCTAATTGAGGTAGAATGTTCAAACTTGGTGTAGACATATATTAGGTGAATGCCTTGATAGTGTTCAATCATGTGCATTTACCACTAAGGCTAAGCAGAGATAAGCAATTTGATTGGTTGAGACTTTGGAATCCGATAACTTTGGTTATAATTGGATGAGAGTGATGGGACTCAGAGTATAGATTCATTATATCAATACCTTGACCAAGTTCGATGATGAGAATTTTCTGCTTAGGCTAAGTAGCGATAAGCAGTTTGATTGGTCAAGACTTTGGAACTTAACAACTCTTCTTTTAATTGAGGTAAAATGTTTAAACTGGGTGTAGATGTTCATAAGGTGAATGTCTTGACTAAGTTCAATGATGAGTATTTCTGCATAGGCCAATCAGAGACTTCAATCTGATTGGTCGAGAATGGAACACAATAGCTCTCCTTCTAATTGCGGTAGAATGTTCAAACTTGGTGTAGACATATTTGAGGTAAGTGCCTCGATAGTGTTCAATCATGTGTATTTTCCACTAAGGCTATGCAGAAATAAGCAATTTGATTGGTTGAGACTTTGGAACCTGATAACTATGGTTCTAATTGGATGAGAGTGATGATGAGAATTTTCTGCTTAGGCTAAGTAGCGATAAGCAGTTTGATTGGTCAAGACTTTGGAACTTAACAACTCTTCTTTTAATTGAGGTAGAATGTTTAAACTGCGTATAGATGTTCATAAGGTGAATGTCTTGACTGAGTTCAATGATTAACATTTTCCGCTAAAGCTAAGTAGATTTAAGCAATTTCATTAGTCAGTGCTGTGGGACAAGATAACTTTAATCTAACTGATGTAGAGTGATGAAACTTAGTGTATAGTTTCACTACCAGGTACTTCAAAACCTTGACTGAGATCGATTGTGAATATTTTCTGCTTAGACTAAGTATAGATAATCCGTTTGATTGCTCGATACTTTTCAAAAAGATAAAACATGCAAAGTGTGTAAAGTGTATAGAAAATCCTCTAAATATCAGTCTGACAATAAGGTCTGGTGATGTTTCTTTCGTGCCAAGTGTCCAGCTTCCAAATCAGTCAATTGGGAGATTTGATTGGCAATAGGAATAGATTTGATTAGAAATGGGGAACTTTTCTAGGCAATGGTTAGCTTTGGTAGGCTATTGTCAATTTCATTGGCAAATGGTAGGTTTGATAGACATTGGATAGATTTGCTTGACGATAGGCAATCAAGATGTTTCGCTACATATGCAGAATGAAAACTCAACAATATCTTTCCTCTCTGTCTCTGTTCCACTCCCATTAGATAAAAGAATTTAGACTATTAAACAGAAGTAATTCAATACATCAGGCCAACAAAGTTGCATCCACACTGTGCACAAGCTTTCATTGGTATAAAGGATAAATATGTAGTAAATATCCACAGCTGCTGTGTCAAAATGCAACATAGTAGACATATACAACCATAATTAATATGTAGATACCATTTGATATTTATTTACCACTTTAGATACCATACCATTGTGTATTGGAATTCAATAGATCATGGCCTTCACTGAAACAGATTAAGGCCAGTTAGATTGTTAGTGAAATCTGGAGAACAGATTGCAATCTTTAAAGAATGCCAGACTACATGTTTTACAGCTGTAGAGAATATGGAATCTACTGGCAGTCAGTAGTGATAAGGTTTCTGCTATAAGTCATAGATATGTTTATACATTATTACCACTGTATTGAAGCCGCACAAAACACCAGTTGTTCTACTACTACATTTCTTCTCTATCTGTGCCTTCAGTTTATGGAAAAACAAATCAATTAATAGTCAGAAAGCAATTTCCCCTCCGTACTTCAACTGTCCTTCAGAATAAATTTAAGATACAATGTACATGTAGACAAGAACCAAAAGTAAAAATCTTTTATCGAGCATACTATAGATCAGGAACCACATCATTGCATTCATCTTGGCATCATGACACCATTGATGCACAATTGTCAAAGGAACAAGCCTTCCATGTGTCATGTTCTTTGTACTTAAATTGGTGGGATCCTAAGGCTTTTTCGAAGAATCTTATCTCCAAGAACAACAAGATGGGTCGCGCTTCAGCCCCAGTTCCTGGCCCAAAGATAATCTGTTATTTGGCATTGTTATATTTGAGTTTGATGCCAAATTTAAAAAAGACTGAGATGTCTATTAAATTTCTGTTAATTACGTAAGTACAGAGTTATTGCCCTTGATAACCTTTTATCATCTTGTAAGTACTGATGTGGAATTAAGTTATTGTCTGATTTAGATGAATTGTGTAGATCAATGAGATGCATATACCAATAGATTTTCAACAATTTATGATAATTATTTCCAGAATTAATGCCATTGCTCCCATTGTGAGCACACTATATATAGACACAAACGTTTATTATCCAAAAATTGCAAATAATGATCAGCGCCTTAAGGTAATTGAATAAGTTAAGTATTAAGATAATTAAACAAGTTGATATACATGTAGGTTGTTGTACAACAGGAAACAAGTAGTAAAGTTTATCACCCAATAATACATTCTACAGTAGATATCATTTGTGTGATATATTTCATAATCTACTGCGATATCTCCTTAGGAGATATCGCTTTACATGAATTTGATTGGTCAGTTGAAAAGGAACTACTTTTTTTTATTTTCAAAGAACAGTTCATTTCTTATTAAAAGTAACTTTTTTTAATATTAAAAATGAACTATTGTTATTCAATTGACCTTGATGGAAACACTGGGTCAATATAAAGGACTTTGCAATGGTTGAATTGCTGTCAAAAAATGATGTATCACTACGCCATAATATTCAGTAAAAGTTAAATCTACAGCAAAGAATTATATTTATCTATTTGTGCATGTAAGAACGGATTGGGTGATAAATAAAATCTCCTACTCGTCTTTTTTGATATCAAAGAAGACTGGTAGGAGATTCTCTATATATATGTACATAGATACATGTACAATACACCTATATAGACTAGTTATTAACTTATTAAAGTCGTAGTATCCCCTACAAGTTTCTATTTTGTTTATATGCTCCCACCACAAACAAACAAATCAAAGTACTAAAATTTTACAAATTGTCAGCTTGAAAGAAGAAGTTTCAGTTTTTACTGGGTCTGCAAAAATGCCAGGTTGTGTTTTAGTATGCAAATCAAATGGAAATGAAATTAAATGAAATGGGGTTTAACGTCCTACTGTTCTGCTCCTATACTGGGCTAATGAAGACGGGCATACGCCATACAGTGTGCTATGAGGGAAATTTTGCCCGGGCAGCGGCACTATCGCCTACTCTTATATCGAATTCCAACTGCCAAAGGATCTTTTACGTGCATTCCAATGTTTACACGGGACCTCGGTTTTTCGTCTCATCCGAAGGACTAGACAGCTGTCCTTGTCAGCCCCTCCGCCCTACATCACTGACAAGGGGAAACCACGTCGGAAAATCGAGATGAACTTTCTCGGCAAATCAAATGGGGAAATAGGGATAGAACTAACTGGAACTAAGGTAGTACAACCACAGTACATATCATCCATAAATACCCCAAAACTTATATTGATCCATAAAACTTTATTGTCCTCAGTCTTTCGAAATGGGTCTGCCCGTCCGCCCGTGAGTGTAGAGCTTTAAAAAATTTGAATAATGAAAATGATTATAGTTATTCTGATGGAGTGCAGCTTTAAAGAATTTGAATATGAAAAATGATTAGTAATATTCTGGCAGAGTGCTGCTTTAATGAATTAAAGTCTATAGTTTTATTGACCAATAAATTAAAGCAATGTAGGCTACTAAAAAGATTAGAGATATGAAAGTCTACCGATTGTTGGAATTAAAGAAAATCTGTATTCAGCATATTTTGTTTTCTCATTATGGGTGCTGGAGACAGATGTGTCCTGTGGTCATTTACTAAGGTTAGAGTCAATGTAGTAAGTGAGGTCTTATCCAGGGTTAAATTGGTTTTATAGATTAATTATTGGTAGGTGCAGACAGACGGCTTGTCACATTATTGGGTTATAAAAATGAACAAAATCTACAGATATACTGTATATGATTTCTATATATATTTTTTAATATGGCCCAGTTTAATGGATGAATGTGTATATTGTTGCTGTCACCCATTTTTCTGTCATTTGTTCACATTTTTTGTTGACATAATAATATCTGACATAGATAGTTTTATAATCATTATCTAATGAAGGAGAAGGGCAGAGGATACTAAAAATGTAGAATCTTGAAGTAGCACGTACAAGTTTTGATCTAACTGTATTGAGAGACAATTTACTGCAAAACAAATGAATTTTGTTCAAATGTTTATAAAAATATTCATGTGTGAAGTTTTTCAATGACAAATTTCCATTTGTAATTTCTTTTTCACAATTAGCCTAATGTTTCACTTCAGATGGTGCAAGCAGCGTCTACCCTTTATTGGTGTTCAAGATGTAATGACAGTTGATATAACAGATATTGGTGGAAAATCTTCTACACCTTATCGTCTACCACGAATAGATGCTCCAAGCCCTCATTCAAGACATTATGAAGATTCTTACTATTCAGCAAGATTATGGGGACAGTTTGGGTATGAAAATATAATAAGGTAATAAAAGAAAAATTAAATAGTCAGTCAGTAGAAGAATAAAAAGAATTACTAACAACATTGCTTCTTTGAGAAAGAATTGAATAAGATTTTAATAAACTTGATTCTATAAGGCTTTCAAATTTATACCGAATTAGTGTAATAGTACATGTACTTTTTTCCAAACAAATTCGAGGAAGGGTGTGGGAGTGTTTTAGTAAGAATACTCTGCTCCATATGTCTTCCTTGTTACTTCTGTAATGATAGGTATTCCCGTAGCTGCATTTAATCCGCCAAAAGTAAATCAAATGAATTGATCATTTGTTTTCTTTCTTTTTCAAGGATACCAGAGTTAGGTCCAGAGATAAGAAAACATTATGTAAACCCACCTAAAACAGTAGCTCAACAATATAGACAGGCTAATCTTAGTGTACCCAAGTTTCGTACAGCTGCCATTACTCCCACTATGAAAGCAATTCCATTAAATAAAGATACAGATGATTTGGACATGTACCAAAGGTATGGTTTTAGAGTAGTTGCCAAACTAACATTGACTATAGTCAGTGTTATTGAACACACTTACACTCTTGTTTTGTTTATCTCACATAATAGGCAAGAGAGCTTTAGCCAGTCATATGCTGAGATTTTTTTTGTATTGGATATGAATTGATTTAATTGGGTGGTGTTTATTTATTTATATTTGCTCAAATGAAATTGCCTGGCCCAGAAGTCAGAGTGAGGGCACTTTTAATAGCATATTCTCCTGAAACACTTGATCACTATAAAGAAGATATTATAGGCATGTTCATTGAGTGGTTCTTATTTTGTTCAGATTTTTTAAAATCTGTTTTTAAAAGGGAATACATTTATTTAGACATTTGCACACATTTTCATCTTCTCCTCAACTACTTGAGGGTTTTTATCCAAAGTTGGAAGATATATTGCTTGGGTGGGTGTTCACTTATTTAGATTTGCTATAATGACGTTCAGAGGAAAGGGATGGGGAGATCTTAAAACGACAACTTTTGACTCCTCCACAACTGCTTAATAAATTTCAACCAATTGATGGGTTATAACGGGAAAGGGGTTTGGTACCATAAAGGGGCAAATTTAGAGATATGAAAGTCTACCGATTGTTGGAATTAAAGAAAATCTGTATTCAGCATATTTTGTTTTCTCATTATGGGTGCTGGAGACAGATGTGTCCTGTGGTCATTTACTAAGGTTAGAGTCAATGTAGTAAGTGAGGTCTTATCCAGGGTTAAATTGGTTTTATAGATTAAGTATTGGTAGGTGCAGACAGACGGCTTGTCACATTATTGGGTTATACAAATGAACAAAATCAACACATATATAAGATTTCTATATATTTTTTTAATATGGCCTAGTTTAATGGATGAATGTGTATATTGTTGCTGTCACCCATTTTTATACACCCACATTTTCATGTGGACGTATATTGTCGTCGCCCCTGTCCGTCCGTCCACAATTTGTTTGTGGACACTCTACAGGTCACAATTTTTATCCGATTTTGACGACATTTGAAATATAGGTCTACCTCCCAAACATCTTGGTTCCTTTTGATATTGGCATGTATCGGACCATAAATTCATGAATTATGGTCGCGGATTGTACTTAAAATCACGTTTTTAGCTTGTGGACACTCTACAGGTCACAATTTATCCGATTTTGACGAAACTTAAAATATAGGTCTATCTCCCAAACATCTCAGTTACTTTTGATATCGGACCATAACTTCATGGATTATGGCACAAGATTGTACGAAAAATCACATTTTTAGCTTGTGGACACTCTAGAGGTCACAATTTTGATCTCGATTTTGATGAAACTTGAAATGCATGTTTATAACCCTAAGATCTTGGTTCCTGTTGATGCCTGAATTATGGCCCCTGATTGTACGAAAAATCGTGTTTTTAGCTTGTGGTCCCTCTAGAGGTCACAATTTTTATCGGATTTAAAAAAAACGTTTTAGTATATCACTGTTACACCCTAATGATGGTTGAGTTCAAATTTCGTGAATATCGGACCAAAACAGTCGGACAAAATGTCCGCCCCTTGTACGCAGATAGTGTAAACATCTAATATATCAAGGTTGTGGACCTCCTAGAGGTCACAGTTTTGATCCGATTTTGATGACACTTGAAATGCATGTTTATAACCCAATGATCTTGGTTCCTTTCGATATTCGCGCACATCAAATCGTAACTTCCTGAATTATGGCTCTTGATTGTAAGAAAAATCGTGTTTTGAGCTTGTGGTCCCCATAGAGGTCACAATTTTTATCCGTGAAAATCGGACTAAAACTGACGGACATAATGGCCGCCCCTTGTACACAAATAGTGTAAAAATATGGTATATCAAGGTTGTGGACCCTCTAAAGGTCACAGTTTTTATCCGATTTGGATGAAACTTTAAATATATGTTTTTATCATAAAGATCTCGGTTCCTCTTGATAATCACACATATCCGAACGTAACTTCCTGGACTAGGCCCCTGATTGGTTGAAAAATCGTATTTTTAGCTTGTGGATTCTCTAGAGGTCACAATTGTTTTTTCGATTTTAAAAACTGTTTAGATACATCACCATTCCACCATAATGAAGGTTGAATTCGAATTTTGGGAAAATCGAAATGAAACTGCCCGACAAATTGGCCGCACTGTGTACGCAAATTGCGTATAAGTATGTATAAGTATGTAATACACTGGTTATGGACCCTCTAGAGGTCACAATTTTTATCCAATTTTGATGAAACTTTAAATATCTTTATATTCCAAAAATCTCAGTACCTTTTGATATTTGCGCATTTCAGACCACAACTTTCTGGATTATGGCCCCTGATTGTACAAAAAATCTATTTGGTTTTTAGCTTGTTCTCTATCCATCTCTTGCAAAATGTGGTTGTATCTTGTCTGGCAGCTGTTGGTTTACATTTTCATGTTCACCTAATTTAGGGGTGCAGTAGAGAGGGCATAAGTGCACCTTCAAGGTGCAGAATTAGATATTTTAGACAGTATTTTGTAAGAGTGTTAGTTTAATAGTACATATGCAAATTAAAATAATTACTTGTCCCCATAAAGATACATTTTCTCCTGATCAGAAGATTAAAACATAATGAGAAATAAAGTTAGATATTGGCAAACTTAACCCATGATGATGTGTGATTAAGCCCAACTAGGTTCTTGGGGTTCTTGGTTTGTATTGACACTAATAAAAATGTCCAGAACTGTATTATTAGTTCCCATTTGTATTCTTATTCTAATGTATGAGATTTTTTGTTGTATTTAATACTAATACATACCATAATACAGTCGTTGTTTTTTGTATTTCAGAGGAGAGCCAAAAAATACTCCCCTCAAACAACAAATTGAAAAAAATCGCTCCCCTAAATAAGCTCTCCCAGTTTCGATAAGAAGAATGATTTAGAAATAAAGGAGAGTGATTTAAAAATTAAGGAGTGTGATCTGATATTAAGGAGAGTGATTAGTTGTGTGTATGGGGAATGGTTCTGAAGATCAATAACTGCATGTAATGGGGTCATTCCTGGTTTGATAAATGATAATAAACCCCCAATGACTTTGTAAAGGAGAGCGATTTTCAATTTTAAGGGGATGGAAAAAATCCTCTCCTCGGTCGACATTCAGGTGAGCGGCAGGCGCTCGAGAGCGATCACTCGCCTTAAAAAACAATGACTGATAATATTCATTAATGAGACCATTCTGTTAGTCTATCCCACTAAAAAACTACTGATTTACAGTCATGGCTGAAGGCTGAATTATTTGACAAGCCGAAAATTAGGAGATCAACTGTAAACTCATGTTCTGTCGACTTCCTGAATTAATGATTTTTTGACAGATTGCATGTAGATATTAAACTAAACTAACGCTTGGCTTATATTCTGTATTCTGTTATTCAATTACTTGTATACAGGTGTACAAACCTAGAACTTGATATATCTATTGAATGGTAATTGAACCATGTTATTTCTGATGCATCACTGAATCCTAGATAACGGATGTGTTAACTTAATTGAATACTATTATGTCATATTTCAATATACCGGTATTCAAATATCAAATTCACAAATTCAAAGTCAAAATGTATGCAAGAAGGTTTTAGAAAGTGTGTGTATATTGACCTCATTTTTATATATCAAGCATAATTTTTTAACAAGAAATAAAATTATGATTACTTAAAATTAACCAAATGTAATAAAATTATCACAAATATTATCAAAAGATTTCACAAAAAGTCATTATTTTTAAGCCTTTTAGGTTCTGTTAACATCATGGCTATTACTCTTAATTCATTTCATTTTAAAAATAAAATTGATACAAGTTTTCTTTGAATATTTAATTCATAACTGATTACATAAAGCTACAAAAAGGATGCTACAACATATCAAAGAGATTAAAAACAGATCACAAACAGACAGTTCAATTATCTGAGAGAGGTTACCATTGGGTATTGATGAAATGAACACTGCTTTCAGTATTAAATATGAGGGCTTTAAAAGATAGCCATGCAGTTTAGCTATATAAGTTATATTGGGGATGGAGCCATGGTGGGTCAGTAAGTAAGAAGTTGGCTCGCTAAATGGAGGTCCCGTGTTTGATCCCTGCCTGCGAAACTTCATCAGAATTTTCCAACGTGGTTCCCTGGCTAGGGACAATGTATAGTCATTCAGATGGGACCAAAAAACAAGGTCCTGCATACACATTGGCGTGCACATGAAAGATCCCTTGGCAGTTGAGTATAAGAGTAGGCCATAGAGCTGCTGTCCGAGCAAAATTTCCTGCATAACACACTGTATGGCGTATGCCTATCTTCATTAGCGCTGTTTGAACAGAACAGTAGGATGTTAAACCCCATTTCATTTCATTTCATTTATATGGTGGTGCCCTGACAGACCCCTTGTTAATACTCAAAACACTATTTATGGATAATATTTTACAATGGTTTATTACACTGTTATGTTTCAACAAGTGTCTTGTTAGGATGGAACGGAAAAGTGAGGTTCCCCCATGTACTCATTGGCATGCATGGTAAAAGAATTAGATACTGACAGTTGGAATTCGGTGAAGAGTAGGTGGAAATAATGCTGCCCAGACAAAATCTTCATCACAGCACATTTTATCTGTCATTTGATGAACATTTTGAGATAACAAACTGGAAGTACTGGTAGTTGTATACTATTAAAAAGGTAACTGTCTGCCCTAAAGCTCTCCATAAGAGCCTTTTATCCTTCTGACGACTTTTCACCTGGAAGAAAATTTAAATTTAAACACATTTCTGCAATTTTAATTAGAAAATTGAGATGTGAAAGGTAAAGAGGGAGAAGGGCTATGAATAAACTACATTCACAGTAAAAATCTGCCTGGAAATTTTGGTGGTCTGCTCCCTTGTTGGTGGGGGATGGGGAAAACTTGAAAAAGAGTTGCTTCCCTTGTACCACAAATCGACATATATGTAACAAACCTCCAGTATAAAGATATGAATGACTTTGACTACTCATGTGGAAGTGCCAAGGTTTGTCTGGTACGCCTACATAAAAACACATTGGGGATCAATAACATTTTTTGTCTTTTTCACTTCAGAAGGAAAGCAGGTGAATGGTGTTTTAGATGCAACCAATTAAATATTTATTTTCAATTGTTCATTCCACTAACACAAAATGATTTGAGCAGTGTAACAGATTGTTTGAAAAAAAATATATATTCCCAATTTAATTAAATGTGTGGTTTATATATATTTTTATACGCCCACATTTTCATGTGGACGTATATAGTCGTCGCCCCTGTCCGTCCGTCCGTCCACAATTGTTTGTGAACAGTCTACAGGTCACAATTTTTATCCAATTTCAACGAAACTTGAAATACAGGTTTATCACCCTAAGATCTCGGTTCCTTTTGATATTGGCATGTATCGGAATGTAACTTCATGGATTATGGCCTCTGATTGTACGAAAAATCACGTTTTTAGCTTGTGAACACTGTAGAGGTCAAAATTTTTATCCGATTTGGTTTAAACTTGACATGTATGCTTATAACCCAAAGATCTCGGTTCCTTTCGATATTCGCGCATATCGGAACGTAACTTCCTGAATTATGGCCCCTGATTGTACGAAAAATCGCGTTTTTAGCTTGTGGACCCTATAGAGGTCATAATTTTTATCCGATTTAAAAAAACATATTATTATATCACCGTTACACCCTAAGGACGGCCAAGTTCGAATTTCGTGAAAATCGGCCCAAAACTGACAGACAAAATGGCCGCCCTTCGTTCTCAAATAGCGTAAAAATATGGTATATCAAGGTTGTTGACCCTATAGAGGTCACAATTTTAATCCTATTTTGACAAAACTTGAAATGTAAGTTTATAACCCAAAGATCTCGGTTCCTTTCGATATTTGCACATATCAGAACGTAACTTCCTGAATTATGACCCCTGATTGTATGAAAAATCACGTTTTTAGCTTGTGAACCCTATAGAGGTCTTAATTTCTATCCGATTTTGTTGAAACTTGAAATGTAAGTTTATAACCCAAAGATCTTGGTTCCTTACAATAATGAAAAAATTAATTGAAAATTTCATTTAGATTACTTTTTTCTGAGTGTAGTTTATGGGTGTTTGTACAAATGTATGAGATTGAATTTGAATACGATGAGTTAAAGCTAACAATAAAAACCCATTTTGACTGCTGCCATTTCCCAAACTGACAAGTGGGCTTATCTGCCTCTCAGTTTATGATGATGAGATAATTTTCAATAATCCAAACAGTTAAAGTTACCATCTGTTTACTGGTTTATGTTCTGTATAATAAATGAAGGCACTAGACAGAACTAGAAATGGTTATTACTCTTGATTAGTTTTTACAGTTTTGTAAATGCCCCCATTTAACAACAAATGAATAAATATACACCAACCATTGTAAAATGCTTGGACATCTTAGCACCTGTGGTCGGGTGTTTCATAGCATGGTAACTTATCTTTATATTTTTAGTATGTTTTGTATATTTCAGTGTATTAGCTAGTGGTCCATACGAAAGTGAAGGAGGAGATTTATTAATACCACCTGGTCCAACACCCACGCCTGTCAGCAGAACATTCTCACCGACTAAATCAGTTAAAAGTATTCACTGGGCACTTGGAAGTTCTCAACATCCATTATTTGATAAAAAGGTTAGTTCTAACTGTATCTTTAAATTTATTCTAGATCGTGAAAAAGGTCATCGATTCAAGTGTTGTGGGTATGATCCTACACTTTTATGTCAGCAGAGATAGGTTGCTCATTCTCTAGTTTCCTCCCCTTGCTTCATTTGCCTGTGCACAAATCAATGATTGAAATAAAGATACGCTCTATTAACATACTTTGAATATAGGGTTAGTACTTTCATTAACTAGATTTATTAGCAAATGAAGTGATTAAAGATAAGGGAAGGGGATGGTAAACTAAGAAATAGAGATTTAAAGGAATCTGTCATTATTTGGTCTGAAAACTTTAATTGAGTGATTTAACCAGGTAATACAGGTAACAGTTTTAACAAGGCATTATGTAAAAATTAGATAAAGACTATAATATTTCAAAAATAGCTAATGCAAAATGAATATATTGAAAATTTCATTCAAATTACTTTATTTTGGGCGACGTTATCAATGGTTGTAATTTTGACAGGATGTGGGCATTGATTGTAACCACCGTACTGGTCATTCAAGTCTTAGCCTCACTTCTCCATTTTTGAATTAAATCATTAGATGTTTGAACCATTCTAATCTACTTAAAATCAGAGCATCTGATGGCATCAAGAGTTGATTATGGTCTTATGTTGATAAATGTCTAATTAATAGTTTATATAACATTTAAGACCCAAAGAAAGACCTGCAATAGGCAGATTTAGCTCTTACATAATGTATGTTTAATTGTATCTGACAAAATGTCAGACAGTTTTGAACTAATATAATTATGACATATGAACACTGAAAAAAATGACAGTCACCAGAGAGATTTATCTCTGACAATTTCTGTGACAGCTGCCTTATTTTCAGGCTTTATCACCATGCAAAAATAGATAATATTGTTATACATACCTCGTGCTATTTTGTCTGGTAAAATCTACCATATACATGTAATTAATTCTATAAAGTGATTTTTTTTAGTCTATTATTAATGAGCTTTGTATTGGGATGTTGGGATATTAAGTATGTCTGAACAGTCTATATGACAATAGTTAGTGATTCTCTTAGGCTGTTCAAACTACATTCACATTTGCTAAATTTGCTAGAAAGCTGTTACATGTGCTCAGTAGATTATTTTCTTTCAATATAAGTAAGTTTCACTCAGCATATATGGAGTATAAGGGGCCAAATTTTAAAACCTTTTTGTTCCACTCGGCATTGTCTTTCAAGCTACGCAAGAATTATCTTGCCTGCCTAACCTGTAGGAATTTTCTTCAGATATTCTGTTTTTTTCTACGATAGATAAAGCTGCCCTGTGCTCAAAAAAATTATTGAAATAATGGTATATCGTATGCTAATTGTGAAATGACCCGTTTTGTATTGAATAAAAGTTAAGCTCCACTTGCCTGGCAAGGAACATGTTCCTGAAGCAACGACTGCGAGTTTTTACAACATCTCGACGTTGCTTGTTTACTTCACAATTCCCAAACTTATAGCTATGTTATCCACAGGCACTTGAGCAGTAGCGTCCAATCAGAGGTTGTGACATCGCCACCTCCATGGAAACCTTGACATTGAATGAACCTTGAACTTTGCAACTCAATTATCACAGGTATTCTCGACGATCGAGAAATCTGATAGGCTCACAAGCTAGGCTTGTACCCAATCGAAATTAGTGCCGAAATATGCAGGGTATTACGTGAAGGGCTTGATAAGATGTACGTAGTTAAAACGAGATCAAGCCTTCTATTGGAGATGGGCAAGGAACAGGTAGTTAGTCATTTGGATGGTACTTTTAAAGAACCATTGACATTTGGAATTAAAAATAAGATTAGGCTGTGGCACCTCACCTCATAGCACACTACATGGTATAAACCTGTCTTCATTAGCTCTGTTGTTGCAGAATAAGTAAGTAAGTAAATTGCATAAAAACGCCCACAGGGAGCAGCATACAATTACAAAAATGACATTAATACAATACAACAAATATACATATAACAAATAAATAGAAAGACATTAAACCCAAATTCCATTCCTCTCTTTTTTTGACAAAATATTAACTTGCGTTGTTGCTCAGTTTTTTGCACAGAAAACTGGAGTGAGAATTCATCATATACGTATCTATTTGGTCACTTGTTTTCACATGGAATTTATTTTATTATAGCCAAGAATTGATTTATTTATTCCATTGCTTCATTTGTTTTTCATTATCTTTACATAACTCTCTTCCAACTGTCAATTATTAGTATAAACAATTGATTTGGTATATCATGTTTGTTAATCATTTGTATCTTTTTTTTTCTGCTTATATAAATTATTATTAGGTCTTCTGAGAACTGTGGTCTTAGCATTTTAATTTTAAATTTGTATAAGGTAGGAAGCTAATCTGTATACAGAGTAAACCAACAAAACATAAATTCATCAGATAGACTAACCAGCACATATAATAAACATATTTGTTGTAAATTAGCTAGCTTATTACAGGTGTTCAAGAACAATGTTTTATAACTTTACCTCCAGGCAATATATTTTATTGTACAATATAACTGCTGCCCACTCTTCAGTCTAATATTTCATATTCATCATCATGTTACCTTTTAACCCTTTCAGTGCCAGACATACCTAATGTTTGACATCATACTTAAGTTTCTAGGATATCAACTCTGAGGCTCGGTAGCACAAAACCATTAATTTTATAGTTTGTTTTAAATGAATTAAAGTTTGGTTATATATTTTGATGTTTTAATTAATACATATGAAAACTGCATAAGTTTACATGTTGACATAATCTTTTGTGTTCATTGCAATACATTATTTTGCATCAAAGTGTCAACAAAAATTAAATTCTTAAAAAGACAAATGTGAATTTTAATGCGTAAAACAGAAGACAAATATGTAGAGATACTATTCTGTCACCTATGAAATTACCTGTGTATCTGACCTAAATGAACTGTAAGGATAAAACTTCAGGAGGAAAATTTTGACTATGAGGCACTGAAAAAGGGGTTAGTTAAACTGGAGTCATAATTTTATTATAGAGAAAGCTTAGTCCACAAAGTTAATCTTTAACATAAAAAATTTCACTAGAATGTAGGTCCTGTATAACAGTTTCTTATTGGCCACATCTGCTCTATCTATGCAGAATCTCCAACCAGACTAATAGGAATCCTTAGAGGGAAGCAATAATTCTAGCTGAAATTAAATAAAATGAAATGGGGCTAATGAAGATGGGCAAATGTTAGCAGTGTGCTAAAGCCTACTCTTATTTTGAATTCTGACTGTCAAGGGTTCTTTTATGTGCATGCTATGTTTCATCCCATCCAAAGTAGATACATTCTGGCATGTTGGTGCTGAAATGTTTATATCAAAGGAATCTCAGATCTCATCATATATTCAACATTCCTGTTTTTACTTGCCAAAGTTGTTTGTATAATATGTTAATTAGGTCAATTTATTATGTATTGTCTACGGTTATTCCCCCTAATCAAACAATTCTGAATTTGACAAGTTCTGGGTGAAACAACACTTTCTACAGAAAATTGAAAAAAAGAGTTCATTTCTTAAATGAATTCTACAAACAGCATGTAGCCAAAAGAGATAAGAGACAGTGAATAGGTAAAGAAAATAAACAATTTTGTCTTAATTGTTTTTAATACAACTGATAAACTTTAAATAGACGAGACATGAATGTGGATTTGAATACCTATGTGCGCCTGATATTGTCTAGCTGTAAATTGCTTTGTACCTGCTATTTAGTATGCATCTTATTCTGGCTATCAGTTTGACTACAAATATTTTATGTGCTTGCTAAATGAAACTAAGTCGAGGAATGAACAAAAGTTAATTTTGTGTAACATTCATGTTGTAAACAAGAGGTTCTTTGTTTAATATATGTAAATATATATACAGGCTGATTATGGCTCCAATGTACCTCCTATTTCATTATACATTCTTTTATAAAAGCTCTGTTGTCTTATACCAGCAGTCCAGCATAGTTTTAAATCATCCTTGAATACTATTACTTAAGATCAGTGTATCACTTTACAAAGGTGGGGGTTTCTGTTACCTACATGTCAATATGCATGTCAGTAATTCAAATATTTATTTTAATTGGGTACAGCGTAAGTGTGCCAGAAGGCCAATACCATTTTTCATTATTAACAAAACTAAGGGTTAATTAACAATATAGATGGTTTGTTTATATCATCTGCCCAGGATGCTGAATGTTGTGAAGTTTATTATTTATCATATTTTTGTAAATAAGGAACAGAATTTAACCATTTTTGGACTGATATTGTAGTTTGCCGGAGATTTGAAATCCCTCAAATGATGATAAGTTGCTTTAATTTACCAATGAAAGTTGAAATGACTTGTATTTTAGTTTGTGCATTTCTGAATTAATTTTAAATATTAAATAATTAATAAAATATAAACAAATGACAACCACTGGATTACTCCTTTAATATTAATGTTTAGATCTCAAATGCATAAATTTTAGGTAATTAAGACTGTTGGAGTAGTTTGCCCATTCATAGACTTTTGGAGATTTTTCTTTTGGATAGTTGTCTGAGGGTCGCCATATGTGTGTAAAATATTGACTTGTGGTCATACTGCAGCACAGTGACACATTACAACAAAACCTTATTGAACTTACTTTGTGCATTGAGAGAGTCATGTGGGTTTATAGACAATTGTGCATTGCGAGAGTCGTGTGGGTTTATTGACAATCCTCTATAGTAAACTTTTCCACTGACTTTTAGATGTTTAAGCATGCTTCACATATGCAAATAGAATAAAAGAAATTCAACACCTTATATTTCTGAACCAACTGTGCTATTGAAGACAGATATGCAAAAAATGATAAATTCATCTACTGGTGGTATATCTACTGATTTGAAAAAAAAAATTGTTTAAAATATTGAATTACATCTTTTACACTTCAACATTTATTGTATATTTTTTAGGGTCGAGGACGAGTACAAGGACCTTATTCACGAGAGTTTACAGTGACATGTTTTGCTCCAAATAATTGGTTAAAAATGAAACTAGGAGGAGGTCGAACCAGTTGTCAAAGCTGAATATAATAGACTTTTATTGAAATACAATTACCTGTTGAAGAACCAGACATGGATGTGGTAATATCAACATATCGATACCCTTTCTTGATGCCAAAGTGGAAATGGCTTCTGCAATGCTGTCAATGTCAAATCAAATTGTAGGCCAAATTATGTGCCAAATATATTAAACCTCATTTAAGTAAATAACATGGCCAAAAGTTTTTTTACACAATGTAAATGTAAAATGATATGGATTCAAAAGGTTAAAGGAGCTGTAGCAGAAATACTTTAGTGAATAAAACACTGACTACATCTGGGTCAAAGTTTTTTTAATCCCAGGCAACCATAGAGTTATGTCCATTATTATTTAAAACTTGCTTTTATGGCTGGTGAAGAGAAATTTGTAGCTTATGGGCTTATAAGCGGGGTAGCAATCACGATCTATTATTATACAATTCTGGTCAATATTTCTGCTAATATAATATTCAGTCCAATCTAATGCTTCCGTTTTATCATACTCATTTATTTCATTTAACATAATGACAGTGGCAAGAGCATGGCATGTATGCATATTCGGGAACACCTGATATCACTTTCTACTATGGGATTACCTCATGTGGCTGAATTTGTCAGCTAGACAGTGTATTTGACCACTAATTCGAATCAGTTGTGCTTGAGTTTTATTTTGAGCCGTTAACTTGGCACAAGTGATATAAGTTATATGTCTTTACAATTTGATATTCAATGTTCATATTTAAACCCACATATATCAACATATATTTATTACATGTCCCATGAAATCTAGTACAGCTCCTTTAAAGTCAGGACCATCTGACATCTTGAATACAGTAATGAATATTAAATATACTGAGATGCAATGAAGACGCAACACTGATTTGACCGGAAGTGCTGGCGAGAGATATTGAAGCAGAAATGTGATTTTTAGCATGATTGTAGACCAGATATTTAAGGTCAAAAGAAAATCAACAAGAACCAACAGAGCCACCTGTAACAGCCACATATGCCGCATGGAGGAGACAAACCTCTGACTGGCTGCTTGGGGGATCCTCTCCACTCTCATTGCAATGTTGCTTCCAGTGACTCTGGTATTCACAATGGCACATTCTCAGTGTTCAGGTGTCAACCTTTGCATATCGTTGCATCTTCCACAGAACTGTAGGAGTTTTGCTGTCCTTAGCATTTTAAAAGCCATATTTCATATCCCATGTCTGCACCATAAAATCATGGTTTTCAACATTCCTATTCTGTCAAATTCATACTGTTTTTGTCTTTGAGAGAATTGATCTGTGTTTCTGTCATGATCTAATGTTACATTCAAATCTTCAAGATTAAAGTATATCTTTCATCTATTTATAAAGGCAGTGCATTTTCATTGTGTCTCAGTATATATTAAATGTTTTGCCCAGTGGTGAATGATACTTGATTCCTATGCTCTGATATTTTACTTCCAGAATTTACACCAACATTTGTTTGGGCCCCAATAACATCAGTCTCATGCAACACCACTCATTTTGGTTTTAATTTAAAATGTTTCCATCTTTAATCTAAGCACAATATATTTATTGTATATCTCTAAATATTTGAGAGAGTTATTTGAAATAATTTATGACAAGTTGTATTGTTTACATTTTGTTCATATCAGTAGATTTATAAATGACATTCTAGTTTATTTTTGAATTTGTCCCACACTTAAGTAGGTATTTTGCTGTCATCAGTTAATCCTGAAGTATTAACCATATTAATATGCAGGAAATATGTTGTTTTTATAAGCCCACATTTAATGTGGATGTATATTATTGTCACCTCCATCTATTGTCTGTCCAAACTTTCTGGTGAACACTCTACAGATCAGTGTTCTCAACAGATTTTTTATCAGTTTTGCAATGATTGTTTATTTAATCATAAGGGTAAATTCTGAATATTTTTTATTGCAAATCACAGAGTTATATCCTTCAATTCCTTGGTTACTTTAAAATTTATGAATCTAATTACAACTTAAGTTTTGTAGAGTTATGTTTCCGTTCACATTTTTACTTTTAAAACTTGGGACAGAGTTTGGGATTTGTTGACAATATCATGGACAATCGGGCATTTATCTATGCTTTTACTGATAGTAAAATGTTTGCGTTGAATGATGTATTTAAGATTATGACTTTATGACTAACAAATTAAAATTTGATGATTGTAAAAATGTTTTTTTGTAAAAGGTTAACTATATTCTCATTATATAGTGATATTATTTATACATGTATATATTTTGTGTTATATCTATTAATAATTAACCAAATGTGTTATTTTTTTAATTTAAAGAAAATTAAATGGTTTATTTTTGTTGGGTTTTATTTTAATATGGAGTACAGGACAAATATTGTACTCCCCTGGCCATCAGTCATCCATCAATAATCCTGAGTTCTGGGTTGTTCTTTTATGTCATAAGAATAATTCAATTGAAATTTACTATTGATGACCACAATATGATGAAAATAAAAATTGTCAATTACAAAATTATCATGTAAAAGAGCCCTTGCCATTGCAGTTTGAGAAGAGTAGGTGGAAACACTATGTCCAGCCAAAACAGGGACCGCAGTGGCACTATGTCCAGCCAAAACAGTGTGTAAGACACTTGATTGGTTATCAGACAGTCTTAGGTATGCACCTGGTGTTGGTTGGCCTAGAAAGTTCTTTAGGATTTTCCAGTGCAATTTCCCCCTTGGCATGCACTGTCTAGTTGTTTGGATTGGACAAAAAAAACAAGGTACTGTATACACCTTGGCGTGCACATAAAAGAACCCTTGACAGATGGAATTCAAAATAAAAGAATGCTGTAGCGTTTCTGCCAAGGCAAAGTTTCTCTCATAGCACACAGTATGGCATATGTCCCTTTTCATTAGCCCAATCGGTGCAAAAAGTTAGGTGGTTAAACCCCATTTCATTTCATTTCCATCCAACACAAGTCAAATTCATCCACTCATTTGGCACATGTTATGTTAGTCTCAAATAATTAATATATGAATGAATGATTTTTAAGGGTTGAATATGCAATATGGGGCTACTTCATTGGTTGAGTGTTTATAAGAAAATACAATGTACGACACTCAACTTCCAGTGTCAACCTCATCAAGAGCTTCGAAGACTGGTTCTCACTTGTTATATGGGGTGCCTGATTATTTGGATGAGACAGAATAAAAACACTGGTTTAATTGTGTACGCATTGATGTTCATCTAAACAGCGCTTGAAAGGTGAATTTGAGGAGAAGTAGTCTGGAACACTAGGCATAAAAGAATGACTTAATGTTAGTATCAAATTAACCAAAGTATTGTGTTAACCAGATGTGTATTATCACATACTTTTCAGAACGCAGTTTCCCATTACCATCATTTATGCTTGACACCCAGTTTATTTTACCATTAACCTATTCAGTTTATTATGAATACAGTATTTCATTTATAATCTGCACCTTTAGAAAAGGATAAGGTGTGAAACCTGTGTAACAAACACTCCCATAAAATATGTGGAGGTGTTTCAGGGTTTTTTTTCATTATATTTTCTTATTGAGCTACTACTAATACATTGGTTGTGTAAGGTCTCCTTCCACATAAGTGATATCACAGACATCTTATTGGGCTTGCACACTGCAGTGGTTTAATTAAACTAAACCCAGATGAACTGCCCAACAAAACAAACAGTACAATAATAAATAAAAGATAATCGAACTGACAATGAAAAGCAAGTCATACTGTTTTGTTAGGAAGAAAAAACATTGGCAGATAGAATTTAAAAAAGAGTAGATGAAATACTACAGTCATTATTGTTTCTAATTTGATTCTTGAAAATTGTCAAATAAAAAATTGTAAAAGAGTAAGAGGAAACAGCTATGTTCTGCCAGAAAAATTCACATACTTGTTTTACATTATATTATGCTAGTCTCAAATGTTAATGACACATTAAACCCTAATCTTTTCCCACCACATTTAGTCCTGTGAATATAAAAATGTAATCTATTGGGTTAGTCATCAAACTTCTTGGATTCACTTCAATATTTTTGTACCAGTCTGTTGTATTAGTCTAGACTGTACTTTACTATTTTTTAGTCATTATTGAACAATTAAAGACTATTTAGAGGTAATATTAGCATAGGACAATATTATTTGTGTTGAATAGTATGAAGACCTTTTCTTGATGGCAATGCTATACATTACAACAGACCATTGTAAATAAGGCCTACCCAATAAAGTAGGAATTTAAAGATTTGTATAATGTGGAATAATAAAAACAATATCCCTATGTTTATATCCCTGAAGTTACAAGTTAGTTTGTTAAAACACATAGCTTCTGCCTTAAATCATTTGCTTTAAAAGAAAACAATCATGACAACAAATATTAAAGGAGGCAAGTCGCTAATCAATATCATCCAAAGTCTTTAACAAGGCAATTTAAATCAACATTGATGTTGTTATCTTAGCATAAAAAGATGGGCTTCTGATATCCAATATTTAAGACAAAATGAAAATTTTAAAATTTGCACACCAATCGCGTGCTAGTATGCTTTTGAGCGCCATTTGTAATTATTGACTCGATGAACGAGGATTAACATATCCCACAGAAGAATACTATCAGTGTAGAATGGAATAACCAGACGCCAAAGATTGCCATTCAATTTGGACTCATTGAGTATATTGCGTATATTGCTGAACATAACTGATTAGAAATTACAGTAAAAACAGAAACTACTGAATGTAAATCAGTTTATATACATTGATATTACATTATTATATGCTTGTGACTCATTTGTGCCCATTTCTAGTTGCCAAAGAATAGAGATTTAGCTTCTTTAAATACACTTTCTAACAAAGCCAAATAGCTTAAAATTTACATATACAGCACTAGTACATTTTATGAACATTTAAAGTGCTTATACTTTTTTTTTATACTTGTGACAAATTAGTTTCTTATTGAAGTGACAAGTGTTTTAACACTTTAAAAGGATTTATAATGTCAGTAGAATAACTCAATTTTATCTCTTTGAATGGCATTTAGCGATCGATCGAACATAATATAACACAACACAGTTTTATGGATAACAATCACTATATTATATACACACGACGTTTATCCATAGAACTGTGTTGTGTTATATCAATTTTATCTCTAAATCTGTGCCACTTCTTTGTTTATTAGCTTAAAATTACCAGCAATTTTATATTCTGACTCTGCTGCTCAGGAAAATTTCAATACAACGTTGCTTCCAAACTACTCTCATTTAGTCCATACATACTCTTCAAAAAAAAGAAATGCATAGCCCATTTTTCATCATTTTTTCCATAAACCTTATTTGTAAGGATATTGGTCTTGCCAAAATTTGTTTTTATCAAATTCGCACGCTTTTCGCATGAAACCCAAATCTAAGGCCTGTAAAATCCCAGGGTCCTCTGTTTCAAAATCAGTAGACACTCAATGAGCCAAGTGATGCCATGTCTGAAACGAAACGAAATGGGGTTTAACATCCTACTGTTCTGCTCCTATACTGGGTTAATGAAGAGGGGCATATGCCATACAGTGTGCTGTGAGGGAAATTTTGCCCAGGCAGTGGCACTATGCCTTACTCTTATATCAAATTCCAACTGCCAAGGGATCTTTTACGTGCACGCCAATGTATACACGGGACCTCAGTTTTTCGTCACATCAAAACAACTAAGACAGCTCTTCCAGACAGATGTAGCCAGGCTGCTGAATGTTTCCCAGAGTACCATCTCTTGCCTTTGGTACCAACAGCAAGGTTCAGCACGCTCGGGCCAACCAAGAGTGACCAGACCTGCCCAGGATCATCACATCCGACTTCAATGGGTTCAGACACACAGGGTAAGGCCACAGCAACGTTGGAGAACAGTTTGGTTCAGCGATGAGTCACGGTTACTGTAGCAACGAGGCAATGGTAGAGCAATGGAGTTAATGCTCACTTGACACTGTAGGTTTCTCTCACATGCTGTAAATTCATAACAACAAAAATGGCGACTAACCAAACATTAGTGATCTCCATCAATTAATTATGTAGTGAATAGCATTCACCATTAGAAAAAAGTTACTATCATTTCACCTGCCTGTGGATTTCTTTAGCTTTGGGATGACCCAGATAAAACCCACGAGGCTGGACAGGCGACTCTTTTCCTTGTCACATACAAGTGGGGAATCGAATACATGCCACCTGACTCAATGACAGACATTGAGTGTTAAACCATTCGGCCACCCAATCCCCTAGGTAGCAATAAGGAACTGTTTCTAATCCGACCATGTCTGTATTAAGATATTCAAAGGACCTGTAGTCCAATCTGTTTCACAGAGGTATTGCGAAAAAGCCTTCTTATACCTCTGTACAAGATGGCTGACCTTTATATGTTCATGTATGCCTTCTACATGTGACGTCACATCACACATCGTTGATCATTGGCTCCATGACGAGTGCATTGTTTACATAAGACACGGTAGTGTAGTGTTAACTAGTCCTGGTAGAATGGTGCCTTTTTACTCATTTTATATACCCATTTACACTAAATGGGAAATACTTCAAACACCTTTATCTGGAATGTAATTTATAGAAGGAAGTTACTATTGAGAACTAATTAACCTGCACCAATGTCATCCCTCTCAGTGATAATAGCAGCCTGGTGAATATTCATTGCTGATCAGTATGCCTGTAGTCCTGTATGCATAATAAATCAGTTGTTGGATGAAACCAAATAACCTGTAGAAACCTTGGATCAAAACTCTTGACTCAATGACAGATCATACGGACAAAGGCACATGTGTCAGATCAGTTGCCCCCCCTCCCCTCCATCGAAGTGACCGTGTTTGTTAGCTCTCCTTATGTTGCCTTCGGCCCACACCAAAACTTGAATGAAGCCCAACCTAGTGCAACCACATTGAACCACTCCCACCAGAAAAGAAAAATATAATAAAGTGTATATTAGTTTGTATAGAGGTTTATTTTATATGATTATATACAACAACATTATATATTATATACAAATAGACAAAAAGCTGTTTACAATATTAGTACATAGAAAAACTGTCACATTTATATAGAAATTTACAAAATGAGATTTCAATAAACTTATTTGTCATACCAAAATATACAGCAAGTATCAAAAATTGGGCAAACGACGAAAGACAATAACATGAACATGGAAGCTGTCAGACCTGACACAAAGCAGATCACAGTGATGTCACAGTGATGTGGCATTAATACCAACATTAAATTTTAATTTTTTTAATCAGATATGTCATATATTAACCTCTGCTACATGCCAAATATCTGCCAAATATTTTCAATTTCGAAATTGAAAATTTTACTATTATCTACATTTTTTTTACTATAAATATATTTCAATCTTTTTCCCAGAAACTTTTGTTAGATATACCTATATGTCACACATCAGCGTGGAATCTCCTATATAAAAATATTCAACACATTGCAACTTGCGACCTGTATCATTGATGCACAGACAAATTATATGCATCATAGATTGCACTCGACCCTTAAATAGCATTTAAATGATAAACCTTCAGGAAATAGAATGACACCATAATATTTTTAATTCATATTGATTTGCACTTTAATATTGGAGTGACACATTAACACATTTGAGCAATTCTTCTTGGTTTTATTGATATTATCACTCGCTCTTTTGGGACTTGTAAGTTAACGTACCAGTGTGTCATTATATTTCCGGAAGAATAAAAGTGTTAACTGTGTTTACTTTTTTTATATAAAAAAACATCTAACAACACTTAACTTATATTAAAAGGCACTATTTGGACAAAACATGATTTCTAAGGCTTTAGTTCGATTATAACAAATCCTAAATCTAAACCCCCAAAACTGGGCCCATATTTATAAAATGTTTTAATTTTTAAGTCATTCAAATTCTTTTATCTCTCACAAAATTCTAAGGACTGTTGACATTTCAATGCTCAGATTTTGTTGTTTGGTCAGATCAAGAGGTTTATAGAACCAAATTTCTATGCTGTAATATAGCCTATTGGCACTTTTATACAAAACCAAATTTCTATGCTTAACTATACTGGCACTTTTGTCCATTCTAAGAATTTTCTTAACAGACAATAACTTTTTAAGAGTTAATAAATATAAATAGGGACACAGATGTTCACTGGAATAACGATTTGTTTCAATCAAACAGCCCAATAAGTGTCTCTTATCAAAAGATGTACCTCTTTATCAACTTACTCAAACATCATTAACAACTTCTCGAAATAAAAGAGGTACAGTTTCAAAGACACAGGCTGATTCTAAATCATTAACCCTTTATACCCAGCACAATCGAAATATAGATAATGTCATCAGTGCCCTTGGTGTATAGAGGGTTAATATCACAGTTTGTTAAATGTTCCCATATTAAGATGGACATATTGGGAAGTATGATATCCTATTTCTACGAATATGATCAGATTCCTTTATTTCCTTCAATTACTTTACTTTTACAAAGAATTAAATAAGGTTTATCCAAAAACATAGAATAAGAGAAATATATCATTTGTTTCTTTGCTATAAAATATGGGATTGGGTAGGTGTCTAGTTGTTGTTGATTTTATATCTACATATCCAGAAGAAGAGAAAGAAATGGAGTTTTACATCCACTCGACAAAATCATTTCAGGACTACCATATGGTATACTTTTATTTCAATATGTCCAAGGAAGGGAAGTACAAAAGGTTCAAATAACAAAATGGAAAGGGCATTAAAAAAAAATGTTCTACAATAAGAAGTCACTCTGTATGGGTAAAATAATATAAATTGTCAAAGAAATATATCTGATCATATTACATAGGATATAGATATAAAGGTTGCATATATTTAAGTTAAAGGCCTTAATTGTCATGGAAATGATCTCCAATATCCATTCACACATAATAAATAATAAATAGCACTTTACTTATTTTATAATCATGGTACATTATATGCTTTACAAGATTATACACTTAAACCTAGGACAGATCTTAGCTTTCACTTATACTTATTTACATTACAAAACTTGAATACTTCATAATATGTAACCTGAAGTTAGTTCTATATAAGGAATAAGGACGGCTCAGACATCTTAAATGTCCTTTGTATTTTTTTTGTAGGATTCAGTTACAAATGCAAAATAACATTTTAAACTGATGATTGTTCATTTCTAGTTTAATTCGAGAATGCAATTTTTTGTCCAAAAACTAAAACTTCACTTTTCTTCTAGAAAGGCAATAATAGGCAGAAAGGGGGAATAACTCTTGTAGAGCACAAAATAACCATGATTTCAGATCTTAAATAAAGTATCAAATACATTTTAACATTTAGAATCTATAACAATTAGAGTCAATATACAGCACATTTAAATAAATAGAATATCTTTTGATTAACAACTTTGTGTACAAATTACCTCATAAGATTTTATAATAAATTCAAACTAATATCATTATATCCATTAATTATTGTATTATTATAATCATAATAAAACATAAAAAAAAATCCTAAATTCATCTTTCTCATGAAGTCTATACAAATAAAAGGATGAAATCAGAATAATGAAACATCCATAACAGGACTTTCACTTCGATCATTTTCCAATCCCAGCAAAAGGTTGTAAGTAAAGCTGATCATCCTCAGATATTATTATAGACCTATGACATGTTTAATTTTATTAAAGTCAATGTAATTTATTACTGTGTGCCTTTCATAACAAAATAACAAACAACATCATTTCATTTAAAAACAACTTTCACATAATATAATAATAATAATAATAAACCAATTTCAAACATAACGATAGCATTAAATTAACAAAAATATGTTTTCCATGCGGAATGGTTGTTTATTATGGACAATTGTTATTTTGTAAAGCATATCTTAAAATTTGAGATGTAAGAATTTGACAATTTGTCCTTTATATCATCTTCTTAAAAAAACTTAGAGGATTCTGCAAGTCCCAACAGCCTAATTTGGGGATCGGTTTTTTTTTTCTAACTTTTAAGTTGTTTGAAATGGTTTAAGCATTCTTTCAATTAAGAAGTATTTCTGGAAGCATATTAAGCATAATGCTTTTTAAATACAAAAGATTGATTATCTATGTAATACCAACATGTATTATTGTATTAATAGATGAGAAGACATGTTTTACATCACAGATTCAATAACATTATAAATAATAGGAATATATAAAAGAGAGCTTCATATAGATCAGCAGCTTAACAAAAACTTAGCGTAAATCTTTACAATATGTGACCAAATTCACAGTTTGATAGTAGATAATTATCATTTGTTCTTGTAGGACAGACTTTAGTCTTGCCCTGAAAATCAGTTGGAAAATATAAGTAGAGAACAATGTAAAATTTCAGATCAAAGACTTTAGATGTATGTCAACAATATTTTAGAAATACAGTAATTCTTTCCTAAAATAATGTCTTATACTGAGTACCGATGAGGTCCACAGGAAGTAGAGTGAAGAGGATAATTGCCAAATGAGTGGATATAATCATGAATTTCAAAATAATAATTCAAATTCATGGAGCAAATTTAGATCATTCTTTATAAAATATATTTATAACTATTCTTTTATCTGTGAAATCTGAGCTCCTCATATCCCCCCCCCCCTCTGGAACCCCATGATGTATTCAATATATCATTAATTACATACCTAAATAGAATAAATTATACATTGTCTAAATATTAATTTTTTTTAGTATAAGTAATTTGATAAGTTAAACCTAAGCGTAGATATATTTGCAAAGAAAAGTACATAAAAAACCTAAAACGATAGGCATGGACGCCAAATGGCTTTGAAATGACATGCTTGTCCATAATGCCATTTCAACACGTGCATTTCAAAGCTAATTGTTGTCCGGATAGAAATGACGTTAAAAATTGCGCAGAGTTATAATGTATAGAAAGATTAAATGATAATTTGACAGGGATTATTTGGGATATTGCTGCATGAGTTAGCACTAGGCAAGATATGTTTATTATCACAGACAAAAATGAAAATGCAGCAAGATCCCCTAGAGTACCAACTAAACCATTATAATACAATTTATATAGGTTTATATTGTGTCTCAATAACATTAACATTTTCAGGTTTCAAAAAGTATGAACAAAGTATGATATTTATTCAAAATAATATACCAGTAAGGCTAAATTTAAGGAATATTAATTTGTAAACACCCTGGATTGCCAAAAATAAATTTTCATCAGCTACTTTCTTATCAACCAAATTGTGAAATTTGCCTTCATTATTAGGTAATATCATACATTGTTCAGTTTGACACATGAAATATGTTATAATCCTTCAAGACACCTGATATATAGGTATAATATACGTATCTATAACAATGAGGTATGATAGTCGATATATTATTTATATGTATTTTATAAGACATTTTCATATAAAAGAAGTACAAAGCTTGATTAGTAAATGATCCTTTACGATTAATGAAGCGTAGAAAAATTGATCGTGTATAAGATTGCGATAACAATATTGATTTGTATGATCGTAGTAGCACACATTCTGTGATGGCTGTACACATGTAATCCTAAACCGGACAGTCAGTCGTTTGTGTATCTCTGACCAGAAGTCAATCTTAGTCTGGCAGAAAGTGAGCCCTACGCCTATACTAAGAACAATACAAAGTATTTTCTCATTTGTAATACACATCATTCATTCTTGATGACAAACTGTTGAAGTCAGGCCTAGATGTTGTTATATGTTTGCTGCTGCCATATTAAGGAGACTTTTTTTCTAACAAGAAACGCTGAACACTCATTGGTTGAATATATTCCAATGATATCCCATGAACTATGTTTTCATTTTCTAACCTTGAATATGATTGGATGGTGGTGTTGATATATCAGTTTACAAGGAATGTCTTTTTTCACAAAAATGATATTTTAGGTTTTACATCACAATTTCACGAGTCTTGGATCGATAAAGTGGAACCATATGGAACGGCGGCCTGGATCCTTTGAGTCTTCAAAATCTTTTATATACCTATATATTACATATATATATCTACAATTTGGTTATTATGTCATATACTGGCAACTTATTTAGTCTTAGTTATATTAAATCTGATTATAGTCAGTTCTTTTGGCTTATTTTGTGTAGTTCCGGCTATAGATCCATGGTGGCATGTCGTTTCATATGAAGTGCTAAATGATCTGATCGAGAGAAACACCGTTCACAATATCGACATTGAAATGGTTTAGCGCCAGTATGTTTTCTGTAGTGGCGTGTGAGTTCATCAGATCTTGCGAATCTCCATTCACAGCCTTCCCATGTACAATGATATGGTTTTTCACCTGAAATGATATCAAAAACAGTTATAGAATGATGATTTGGCCAACAATTCATTTATTTTGAGACTAAACATAAGGATACTAATTTTCATTTCTATGGTTACGTGTTTAATGCAAAAGAAGAATTTTGCATATTCATATTCACATGTTATGCAGTTTTTTTCGATTATTTCAATTATAAGACTACTTATTGACAACTCAAATTTAGATCCACCCAATCTAATTACATATTACAAATTAATGTAATTATTAGGTAGAGACCAATCTGCTTCATATACACACAGATATCAATTTTAACTCACAACCTATTTGTCTCATTTCTGTCTTAAGCTCCAGGCTTCCTTTTATTTTTTGTTATAAAAAGCCTATTTCAATTTTGTGAATAAATATTCCGACATATATATAACAGTGTCAGTTTAATGTATATATACTAGAGTCTCGAAAATAAATTAAACGCTTCATGTTACAATATGAAGTAAGCGTAATATAAACAAACCAATAGGCGTGTTTATCTAGGTATAATCTTACGTCATAAGTCTACAGATTTACAAGATAAACAATACACATTCATATATCCTCTAAAATCTTGCAACTGCTCCTTTGAGGCCGATTAATAAATATATATGGTCTACACCTGTATGGCTAATACACAACATCAAAGGGATATATGTAATACTAATTGATGTGTTGGAAACAAGCCCTTTAAACTCTCATACATCTACTGAATTATATATGTATACAAATCTCTAGACATTCATATACTTTTCATTTATTTGATATAATGTATTACACAGAGATTGGGGTGGGGGGTGGGGGGGTAAGTTGGGTATTGTTAAAGAATTTATAGGGAGACAAGACAGATATATTAAAAGAAACGAAATGGGGTTTAACATTCTACTGTTCTGCACCGACTGGGCTAAAGACGGGCATATGCCATACAGTGTGCTATGATGGAAAGAACAGAAAGAACAGAATAAAACTGCTTTGTTTAATATAATAATAATGAACTAGGAAGACTGTATATTATTCATATAGAAGCATGTCAGTATATCTATATGGATTTGACAGGGTGTGGTCTTTATTATCCTTGAAAACAATAACACAGTTTGGTAATACTAGATTGTTACTAATTATATGCTCTGGTCAAATCAAAATATGTCATTTAGTGTATTTATTTCACATCAATCAAGTAACAGTATTCAATAAGGAACATGAAGAAAAGGGCAGAATGAAAAGCTGGGTGGGGTGAAAATGTTTTTAGACTTGACAAATGCAACACATAAAATACACAAACATATTGAAAATGTTAAACAAAATGCAGTGTATTATGGAAAAATAAAACAGTGTCAGGCCACATTTTTTGAATGCACTAGCCCAAAAGTACCACGCCACAAAAAGTGCTGCACAATTCGCCCCAACCCCTCTATGCACCAATATAACCAAGCCCTGGATTTTTCTATTGTATTCATGGTATAGATACATACATGTACCCCAGTGTTGAACATTCTTATACAAACACTTAATAATTTAATTAATATTTATATAGATGACAAAAAAGACCAGGTTGTTTTGACCTTAAATATCTGTTTATATTTCATGGCAGATTGGCTTGATTTAACTTGAATGTCTTTCATCTTAGTTTAAGTGTACTTTTATTCAGTTCTAAATAGTCTTGAAATTACATCTAAAATTATTTCATTTTATTCATTTGACTCTTTATTTTGTATGGGGTTGACCAAGTAAACTGTATATATGTAGTCTAAAGAGATCTAATATGGTGAGAAATGATATTTTAGTGTGTACGTTTAACGTCATATTTCCTTTTAAAAGAAAAGTCAAAATTCAACAAATAATCATTCAGAATAATTCAACATTGTGGACCTAAGTTAAAATTAGATTTGAAATTTAGAATAATACTATTGTATGTTAAAAATGTGACTTTTTCATGGAAAAGCCTTTTCTGAAGATTAATTTCCGATTTACTAAGCACTTATTTTGGTAGAATATCAAGACGTGACTCATTCTACACTTAGCATAATAATACTCAAGTATTTTCTATTTAAGAGAGTCATAGTTATAGAAGACAAGATTTGGCCAAAGATAAATTTTCTAAAAACTTGTATACCAATTTAATGTTTTTCATAAAGTACCATACTGTATAATTTATGGTTACATGTGCCTTGCAGTCTACATTCAGAACCATAACGAGAGTCATTAGTTTAGTTCTAAATTTATTAAAACATTATATCAAACATAGATAAATAAACATATAAGTTCAAATTGAATCTGAAAAACATTAGAGTTTTTTCCTCACGTCATAAGTCTATTTAAAAAATCTAAACCTATATGCCTATAGAAATTAAGATACAAAGATTTTGCACCGTAGAAAGCTTTTTGGAGCAATAGTTATTGTACATGTACAATGTACAAAGTGCAAATTACTATGTACTGAGGTATGCCACTTGCACACTCAATGTAAGTGTCCTAAGCAGCAAAAGAAACGTCAGGTTGGTATGTTACTCTGAATAGACACATTGCATAAAACTTGCCAAATGTTTTTATTGTATATTTGTGACCACATCTCCAACTTGACCTGAGCAATAAGGCTCCTTCCCAAACACAGAATTGAACGCAGGAAATGTTCTCAAAAACGCATCCTGACTTCTGATTTTCATGTAACTCATGCTGCACGTGCTGTTCACCGGAAACAGTCCTATAAAATGCACCCCTATACCTGGTTGAATCATTCCCACTACAACGTCAGCAACATGCCACGACTCATGACAGCTCAGAGGAACCAGGTGCTTGGAAGACTCAATGCTGGCCACACTGCCCAAGCCGTTGCCAATCACTTCCAGTTGAATGTTCGGACGAACTACAGGCTTCAGCAACGCTTTTGGGCCACCAACACCACAGATGATCGCCCCAGAACTGGTAGACCAAGAGTTACCACAAGGTGACAGGACCGCCATGTTGTGCGACAGCACATGCAGAATCCCTTCACATGGGCATTTGAGACAGCACGTCAGACAGTGGGAACATACGGAAGACCCAGCAATACCGATACAGTGCGCCGATCCATTGCTGTAGACCTTACCGTGGACTGATCCTCACCATCGACATGAACATTTACAGATTGCCCAACAACACCAGAACTGGCAACACAGGCAATGGAGAACTGTTCTGTTCACTGATGAGAGTCGGTATTACATATATCAACTACAGATGGCAGGACCAGAATATGGATTCGACGTTTATCACATAAATGATTTTTGATAAGTGCTTTAGAATATGGTTGAATGTTTTACAACCTTCCTTATTCAAAATGTGCTGAATAATACTGACTCTTGCACACAAAGCCAAAATGTGCATGCCAAATTTTATTTACTATTTTAATAAGTGTCATATAATAATTATACATCCTACATTTCACAGTCAGCTGCTATCCGATGTGAATTTCATGAGAGCTAGCTGTCAAACTCTTTAAATTATATTTTTCCGTTTTCAAAATATGTCTTTATGCAGAAGTACCAAACAGTATCAAGAAGCAAGTAGAAATTTTATTTTACTTAAAAGTCAGGCATGGTAAATAAACAATTATATCATGATTTAATTGTACAGATCAGGTGTGTTCACTGAGATATATACATGTAGTCATTTTAGTTTATATTCCTTTTCAAGGGGTTCAGTGGACAAAATTTAAAATTTCCCGAAATTTAATTTTTAATAATAAAATAAGTAAATTAGTTATATAACCAAGAATGAAATGGGGTTTAACGTCCTAATTTTTTGCAACCACTGGACTAATGAAGATGGGTGTGTAGGCTTATAGGTTTTAATAAGAACATATTACAAATAGTAGAAGTTATAAAATGGATTAACACTGATAGTTTCACAACGAATGTAAACCAATGTAGAATTGTGTGGAACTGATTTTAAAGTAGCTTATCATAAATCTTATTAAAAGATTTTTCTATTTCACTTTTATCACTGTAAAGAAATCTCACACAATCCAATGTAATAAAGAATAACAAAATAAATGCTTTGATTAAATGTGTAAAGTTTTCTTACTGATAAATCATCTCTTAAATATGAAAAATCTCATTTCCTGCTTGCTTCCGGTAAACTGTTTCGTACTTTTACATTAAGAAGTATAGCAGATCTTTAATTTTAATATCAGACTATGTATTAATATAACAAAAAATGCTACTAATATCCGGAAATAAAAGCCAATAAACTAGTCTGGTTAAGAAAATACACAGACATTTGGATAGTCAGGATTTTTTCAGAAGAGACGTTATGCCAAAATGTGTTTAAAATGAAATTATCCATGTGTTAGTCTCAAATAAAACAGAATAATTGTACAATTACCCATAAATCATATTTAAGGAAACCGTGGCCTACTCAAGTTGACAAATTAACCTAATTTTATTCATGTATGTGTATTGTCAGTCTGACCTTGTATTACTATAAAAAATCTTTAGTAAAGTATCTGACTTTATGCAGAGCCGGCTTTAGGAGTTGCAGGGCCCAAATGAAAAATGTTTTAGCGGGCTCCCCACATTCACAGCTAAGATCAGTATAGTGAAATGAAGGAAGTTTTATTGTAGCCCAGGCCTTCCTGGGCATGGGGCCAAATTGAGAGTAATTGGTCTAATTGGTTTAGAGCCACGCTGTGCCTTATTGTGTATGGGCTGGACCGGTTTGATTCAACATTAAGTGTCATTTTGATAACATTCGATTCTTTTTTTTTCTTCAAATTAGTAAGGGGCAAAATAAAAAAAATTCAATTTTCACACAAAGATGATCTGCAAGGGTAATCAATTAACACTGCAAGTACCAGAATATGTCCTGGTCAACCAGGTCTGATGTAGACCCGGTCAAGCCAGTAAGAGGTGTAGCCAGGATGGGGCTTTGTTGTCAATGAACTTAATCTCAATTCATAATTTCAGGGGATGTCAAAATCACGCACTTCCAGGGACCTGACCTTTGGTTAAACTACTATTACTTTCCTTTCAACAAATCAGCCCAAGGTGGATCTACCCTTTTTGATCACAAAAATGCACAATGAACATATAAAACTTCTCTAAAAGAATTTAGGATGTAGACTAGGTTATCACAGTTGATATTACAGACTGACATACTAGTACACTGAATGTTATTACTTGTGTCTGATTAGTCTAGGATTTATTAGATAGTCAATAACCAAACAGGAGATCGTGAAAGATACATTAAAGTTCTGACTTGTGGAATAAATTCCCCGTGATCATGATTGATGGTGGTTTTAGTGTTCGAGTAACGTCTTAGAATACACAATCATGGATAAACTTAGCCAAAGCAAGATTTCTAATCGATATTCTCCTGATATACATCATTTCTTGACTCAAAAGACTTTTTTTACAAGATAATATAATTTACTGATTTACTGCATGTCAGATTGTTAATCAATTCATTACAACCACTTTGAAAACTAAGAGTATTACATCAATGATCTCTGCCCTTGTTTTAAAAAAAAAAAAGAAAAGATAATTCTACATGTAACTGTATATCTGATTGTTCAGGCATCATTTTATTTTTTAAAATATTTTTTTTGTAAGTGAACTAATTCATTCCATCTAATTGTTACCAAAACAGAGATTGATTGAATTTTTGAAATATTATTTTTTTTTTGTATTTCAATTCGTTTCTAACTTCTTCCATGGTCTGAAATTTCAGTCAACTTAACTTTTAGGAAATTCGGATTACCTCAAATGTACATGTGGTTCCTAGCCATAAATTAGGATTCATTGATGATGGGTCACAATTGAAAACTCTTGTATTCTCAAACACTGAGCAGGTATGGTCAGTTAACTGTAACTCTGGTCCACATATAGAAATTAAGTGTTGTTTCCTAAATGGTTGCTAAATCCTGAGTTGTTGGAAACATCAGTATTTTCAATATAATCATTTATGAATTTTTATCAGTTTACTACAATAACTACTAGGTCTATACAATAATAAAACAGAATATAAAAGCACTATACCATACCTGTGTGTGTTCGTAAATGAGCTTTAAGATGAGAACTTTTAGTGTACACTTTTTTACAACCCGTATAAGGACAATTGTGAATTCTTCTCCGTGAGTCTGGACTGACTTCTATACGTCTAGGGATGCTATTAGGGGTTGGTCGTTGTATTTGTGCACTATGAGGACGATTTCGTATAGGTGTTGTACTTGTCACTATAAATCTAGGATGTTTATGAAGGATATCGGCAGATACAGTATATGTGTCTCGGCCTTTCTGAGCAACAAGTTTGAGAGCGAATGGGTCATGAGTTTTTGTCACTGTTGGTGATAAGGGCGGATCGCTGATATTACTATCCCATGATACACCACTTGACGCTGAACTAAAACTATGTAAACTAACGGTATCAAACGGATGATCATCCAATTTTAAGTGAGCAAAATTATTTAATTTTTCATCAGTTTCTGTTTCGTCACCACTATCACATTCACCATCTTCATCTTCTGGAATATCTTCCAATTCATGATCTAAATCTGTATCTCCGGTTTCCGCGTCCGACACCACACTACACGCTTCCGATCTCTCTTGACCTGTAATATGATCCCATGGCCTTTCATTTTCAGAATTAATCTTCTTAAATGACGTTAATTTTGGTTCATTCTTTAAGTAGCGTTCCATTTCCAGGCAATTCTATAAAAGAGAGAAAACAAGATCATGTTATTGATGTCTTGCAAATTGATCAATTTCAGTCATCAATCATTTTTGGTCGTCTATACATGTTAGACATAGGTCAATAATATCTTCTCCATCTATTATACTGATGGAAAGGATTACTGAGTGATTATCCTTCTAATGGAAAGTCAATCAGTTACAAGGTAACCATATAATCTAACAATTACCTTGTTATCTAATTACACAATAGTAGATCAGTCTAACTGATAATGTAATTGAGATTGCTTTGAAAACCACATGTCTGATATTTGCAATTTAATATAGAATTTTAAAGAAAAACTTCCTTTTTTTTTAAAATAAAAAGTATGCACCAACTCAAAAAGCTGTATAGCTATAATTGGACACAGAACTGTTCTAAGAATTTGGCAGGTTATACAGAATAGCAAATTAAATGTACACCTAAACATAATTTACTTGAAATTAAATCGAGATTGTCTGATAACTGAGTGTAATATCTGTTACTTAAAAACTTATTTTTGCCAGTCATTTGTGAATAGCTTGGCTTGCTATTAACATGTTTAAAAGTGTGTAACAAAACTAAATGTAAACTAAGTTAAATTTCAATTTGAAAAATCAGTTGTGTTTTTGTAAGAGCTGTTTATATAATGATTGGTGTTGCTCATATTTACAAGAATTCAGCTCAAGTGGGAGTTATGATATGGGAGGTTAACAGGACTGTTTATTATGTAACTTTAACAGATCACAAATATTTATCACTCTTATTTAGTTTCATTTTCTGAAGAGACAAGTATTTAAATTCCATGCTTTTAGATTTAAACCATCATTTAAATATAACAGTACCAGCATATAAATTGATGTCTCATAATTGAACACAGTTGTCTAGAGAAGTTGGGTTTAAACATTAATCAATCTATACATTGTTTCAATGGCATTTAGTAATTGAACTAGAGTATACAGGTCACAATTCTATGGAATACAATTACTGCTTTTTACTGAGCGACGTTTCGACTAGGCTTCTCTAGTCATTATCAAGCTATGATAGCTTGATAATGACTAGAGAAGCCTAGTCGAAACGTCGCTCAGTAAAAAGCAGTAATTGTATTCCATAGAATTGTGACCTGTATACAATCTATACATGTAGGTGTAATACTGTAATAGGTTGCCATGTAGGTTTAGGTAATCAATATTATTTAATACTTGGAACACTTTAAACATACAATCTAAATACAAGGCCATACAATCAATAAACTATTCACTTTCAGTACAGTATTTTAAAAAGAACAAATTTGTCATGATATAGATGATATGTTATCAATGTTTTTAGTATTTGTATGGATGTTTCCAATGAGCTCTAATATTATATGGCTTTACTTTTATGATTTTATTCGACACAAATAATCATATGGTTTCTACTAAATTGTGTCATTGCAAGTCACCATTAAGCTCAGTGTTTTACATTAGGCTTATAAACATCCAACTATTGTCATTTTATAAAGGTACTACTAAATACTAAATCTGTTCATAGCATTATTGCAGCTTTAATGGCCATCCATCAACAATATATTCTTGAATCTGTATGAATAGTCCTTTAATGCTTGGCCATTAAACCATGGTGTATTTACTGCCAGGGACAATGTTAATGGCTTTATATAAACTTCACATTAACATGCAGGGGTCATTTTACAAGGTCACATTTATTTTTTATTCATTTTATTAACCATTTCCATGGGAACAAAATGGATTAATATAGATTTTGACACATTGGTTTAAGATATACTTCATAATTTGAATGACGTTAGATCATAAATCATGTATTCCGATATTTTAACTGTTTTTTAACTGTTTCACACATAACTGATGCCACTAAAACAAATAGTAATTTATGTATAATAAGTTATCTACAAATTATATAGGTTAAATATACTATAAGTAATAAATGACTGGTATGCATCTCAATTAATAAATATGACTGGCATGTATGTACAAATTACATTCCGATTTATTCTTTTATAGTAAAATTTTGAGAGTTGACATAGGTCAACATTAAAAAACAATCTATTATCAAGTGTCAAACATTATTATTTTGAGATAAAATTGATAAAAATATGTGGCGTCTCCCTCAGGTCACATATTGATTCAGTATGTGTTATAAACTGTACTAGTTCTACTCTACAGTATTATGTGAGGAATGTTTAATAGTTGGTCTTTATAACATATTTTAAAGATACCAGTGCTCAACAATATAAAGCAATAAAATCTGAGTGTTATCAAGGACAATTGGAAATTTGTGAAAATCAACATAATTCTTTATCTGATAAACATAAACACTGTGTATAGCATAAGCCACATTGGACACAAGGTTTTCGAGGTTATCTAGGACAATAACTCTGACGGTAATTATGAGATTTGGAAATTGAAAAAAATGGACAGCCTTGTTTGCCCTGTGAATCATAGGCGTACGAGCTGGGGGGGCGGCTGCCCCCCCCCATTTTGGGCACCAAATGCTGGGAAAATTTGAGCACACAATTGTATTTTGTAAAAGTTGTATAAAAAAAGATATTGTGTTCTTGAATGTGTCCAATTTAACAGCGAATTTATTATTATTATGTAACATACTAAGAACCTAACTACATTTTTTGGGCACCAACCACCACCGCCCCCCCCCCAGTCAAAAATTTCCCTGTACGCCTATGCTGTGAATATAAACCCAAATATAAATTTATGCTTTATTTAGACCAATAAGTTAATATTTACAGAAACTTTGCATTGTCCAATGAAATGCATGTAGGTGAAAATACTTCTGTCGATTTTAAATCAAAAGTTAAAGGATTGACATGACTGTGTTCCTTTAAAATGTGAAAAGTACATTTGTATTTGATAATAATTGTATATAGGTCTAGGTGTGAATGACTTTGACAATAGAATATAAAGTATAATATAATGTGGCAAGAAATACCTTTACCGTTATAAAACAGATATTAACATGGCATGGTGAACCAATCATTATTTAGACTTTTACTTTCTATTTATTTACTTGCACATGTATCAATAATAGTTTGAACAGCAATTTAAAAAAAAAAACATCAACAACCCCCGTCTCTCCCTTAACAAATAGTATTGTACCATAATCAATATTGATAGGCTTTAAGCTACTTTGAAATCAATGATGGCACAATTAATATCGATTTTTCCAGAACACAAAATAAAGTACATCATAAGTGAGAAACAACAATTAAAGTTATATCACACCCATTGTTTAAACATTAGGAATTAAAGTGGGAATTTACACAATAGTGTTAGAATTCAATATTGAATACATATGAATATACTATTCTATATCGATTGTACATGTACTGATGCTTACAGCTATAAATAAAATAACATGTACAACAAATTGTTGAGCTTTCTGAATCAATAAGTGGCATCAGGTGTTCTAGACAGGAGAAGTGTACCCTACTTCAAACACAGAACCTACCATCCGATATACCTAATTGGAATTGTCAAATTTACTTGTTCCTTTAAAATTATCTAATTACCTCCTAATCACACAGCTAAAACTACTTTACAGCTAAAACTACTTTACGCATACAAATTAATGCAATAAATATATACTTTAATTCAATGTGACAGAGACACAATAGATACATCTACATTTTAATACTTTAATTCCTGGCACAGTGAATACATAAAAGATTGATGTTTAATGCAGATAATGTAATCTCTTCTCTGAATACAAATCCAACTATTGTAGCAAACTGCTAAAGAGTTATTGTATCACTATTCAGAAATTAGAATTGTGGTTTGCATCATCTCTGACTCCAACAACTCTTAGAAACAACTCTTAGAATCATGAATATTGGCAAAATAAGCTCAGTTTACATCACCATTCATAGAACTCTTGAATTCTGACCTATAGAATTGTTTTAATACGAAGAATCTCAGAAATCAGGAATATTGGCTTTAGAATCCTGGTCCTCCTCTCCACTGTTAGTCATTCATCAAAAAGATCAATAATAGAAGAAAATTGACAGTTAGGAATATTGTTGACTAGGCTGGACTCGATCCGCTTGTAATTGACCTTATTTCTACATAGCTTTTATTGACACATGGACAGTTACAAAGTAATTGGATGCACTTGTTAAAATTTTGTTTGTGTTTGGCTAAATGAAGAGATCAATAAAAAGGATACATCACTATATGGTAAAACATGGAATACATTGTAGATGATATCAAACAAACTACTGTCCCACCTGTCTCAATTATCACGCCTACATGTATGCGTTAGGATGAATCAAGTGTAGAGCTAAAGTGATAGTACAATTGTGTCAGTCAAAAAATTGTATCAAAAACATTTCAAATAGTGCACATATTCAACATTTGAGATATATGTGAACAATCTAGCATGTTGCACCATTAAACTATAAAGTTTTAAAGTATTGGTAGGTGTAATTGACCAAGGGATGGGGGATGTGTTGGCTCAGAAAGATGCTGGCTCACTAAACCAAGGGGTGTAGGATTCGATCCCAGTGTTGGCTGGGGAAATACCCCAGGATTTTCAATTGTGCTTTCCCCTCATTAGCCTGGATGGTGCAGAATAGTAGGATGTTAAACCCCATTAAACCAAGGGATGTAATCTGAATAAAACTTGGTTTCAGAATTTGTCTCTTTTTTCCAAGTCAGTCCCCTTTAAGGTCAAAAGAAACATATTGGCAGTAGTCAAACATCATCAAATACAGAAAGATGAAAACAACATAGTCCCTACTTCACCATCAAAGAGTCGTGTCTTTTGAAAGTTTTCTTGTCCTTTTGTATTTGAATAAATAAGAGATTTTCTGATGAATGGCCACTTAATAATTTACTTCAAATGATCACCCATTGAATAAATAAAGATTTTAAAAAATTGGTCAACCACAATAAACTTGGTCATCTTGCCTTAGGGTTTAGGCTATGATATCTAGAAAAACATTGTAGGAGAAAGAACGCATATGTGAACACAG